ATAAAGTAAGATGCTACATGTGAAATGGACACTAAAATATAAAATTCAAAACAAAGACACATAGCATATAAGTTTATATAAATGGATTATAAGGGGCTTACATTGAGAGATAAGTACGGCTGGTGTTTGTGAGCAGCAGCAGCAGCTGCGTCCAATGGAACAAACTTGTAAGGGAGGGCCATCTCAGAGAGGCAGAGCAGGACGCGTGCCACGCAGCTGGACATTGGGAGGCCATGGACCTTGATCGCCATGGAAATGTAATAACCAGCTAGGATAAAAGCAAAGAAGCAGGTGAAAATCAGGATGGGTTTTTTTATTTACTTGGATTGTTGGTTCATATATAGACTATAGTTAAATTAAACATGAAATGTCAGCTTGTGTTGGAAGTTGGGTATCATCGCTCCATTTGTTTCCCCCATTTTTATTAAACTTCTTACGACATTCTTTGGATTCTTCCTACATGAAATATAACGTCTGCACCACCATTCTTGTGCTGTGCTAGCACTAAAAAAGTCATCCCTTAGAAACATAGTCTTGGTTTTTCAGCTAACAGAAATTATAAGATGGAGAATAATTCTTTATTATTAGAAGGTCTGGTTTCACATTTAAATTTAATATTATCTAGATTATATGACAATTATTTTTAAATTATCAGTTAGCAATTAATAACTATATACCGTAATGTAATCCAATAAACTATAAGGCTAAAAAAAGTACAAATAGAGGATTGTATTTGTATGTGATATAAGGTTTGTGAAATGTTTCTAATAGAGTGTTTCTCAAATTTAAATTCTAAATTAGATATACAAAACAGTAATTACGAACTCCTGCATACAAAGTAAAGGCAAAGAAGTATTTTTCATTGTTACAAAATAATCTTGAGATTCATAAAAGATTCGAGAGTAACGTTCCAAGCTTACAAAGAACAATCTATTAATATTAAAAACACAAAATTAATCCTGATCGTATATAATGTATGACAAAACAATGTGATCAAAACCCACCATCACAAAATCCTGCATCATATTTCACATTTAAATTTAATATTGTCTAGATTATGTGATAATTACTTTTAAATTATTAGTTAGTAATTAATAACTATATACCATAACGTAAATAAATTATAAAGCTAAAAAAAATACAAATAGAGGATTGTATAATTTGTATAACATACAAGGTTTGTGAAATGTTTGGTGTTTCTCAAATTTAAATTCTAAAATTTTCTTTTATCTTAGTTGCACAATAAAAAACAATTATTTACTATTCTTTATCCCACCTTATCTGTATATTATACGATTCGAATTCAAAACTTTTTATTTTCAACGGATTAAAATAATCACTAAACTACTTTCAATGGATTGAAATAGGCCAAAATCCCTATTTGCGCCTTCCATTTAATTCTTTTCCGCTGTTAGCACCTTCCAAAATTTTTCTTCCCTATTCACACCCTCCACTTTTCAAAACCCTTGAAAAATACAATATTTTAACGGCCTATCACGATACCGTTAAAAAATGCACTATATGACACCCAAAAATTGACATGGCACTATGAAACGTTAATAATCCAATGTGAATCCCTTTTTTTTGATAATGTGACTTATTTTCTGCACACGTGGATATCACATGTGCATAACTCTAAAACCCAAAACAAATCTGTAGAAACCTCGTTGTCTTTGTCTTCTCAGTCTTAAACCCGAATCCAAAACCCAAAATTAAATCTTCCTCAACAAATCACTCAAAATGCACAAATTGAGCTCATTCAAAGACTTGAATTTGCCAAAAGATAAACCACAATAGCTAAAAAGTTACCAACCATAAGGAAGAAAAGCAGGATTGTAAGATCTAGTACAAATTATCCATATTTTTCACAAAATCACAATTTTGAATTGGAGCAAACAAATAAAATTACAAACAGAAGCTAAGAATAAGGGAAGCAGGACATAGACACAGAATCTGAAATCATAGAAACCATATAATAGAAGTAGATCCATCATGGTCGATCGTACCTTACCTCTTGCGAGGGAGGAAAAAGACGAGAAGGAGAAGAAGCCTAGGGAGAGAGAGGGAACCCAGCAACTGGGTTCCTCCAAGGAATCCAACAACAAGGTTCCTATGAGGAATCCAGCAACAAGGTTCCCGTGAGAAATCCAGCAATTGGGTTCCTCTGAGGAACCAAAAATTGGGTTCCCGCGAGGAACCCAGCAACAGGTTCCCGTGAGGAACCTAGCTCGTGGAACCCAGATGAAGATGATACTGAGGATGAGGATGAGGATATGGATAAGGATAAGAAGAAGATAGAAGAAATTAATTATGTTTTAATTCATTTAATTCCTTAGATTTTTTTTAAGCATTTGCATGTACATAAAAAATTATGCCACATCATAAAAGAAAGTATTCACGTTAGATTAATAACATCACAATGCTACATAGTGCATTTTTTAATGGTGTTGTGACGATCCGTTAAAATATTGAGTTTTTCACAAGTTTTGAAAAGTAAAAAAAATGAATAAAGAGGAAAAATTTTGAAAAGTGTTTACCATGAAAAAAAATTAGATGGAGAGTGCAAATAGGGGTTTGGCCATTGAAATAATCACAAAACTACTTTTGTGGTTGGTAAATTCTAAATTAGATGTACAAAACAACACTTATGAACTCTTGCATACAAACTAAAGGCAGAGAAAGATTTTTTATTGTTACAAAAAGATAATCTTAAAATTCATAGAGGATCCGAGAGTAACGTTCCAAGCATACAAACAACAATCTATTATTATTAAAAACACAAAATTAAACCTCAACGTATATAATGTATGACAAAACAATGGGATCAAAACCCACCATCACAAAATCCTGCATCATATCCGCCATCGTAAGCCACTGCATCGGACACCAGATCTCCAATCAAGAGCCCTCCAAGCGCCCCGCCTATCAACCCTGCTCCCAACCCCAACCCAAACTTGTTCTTCTTAGGCGGTTGCTGAACTGGCGGCGGTGGGTACCCGTATCCCGCTTGGGCTGGGTAAGGGTACCCAGGAGGTGGGGGCGGTGGGTACCCATAACCTGCTGGAGGCGGTGGAGGGTAAGCACTATAGGCCTGTTGCGGGTACGCATAAGCCGTTGGCGGTGGTGGGTATGCCACAGGTGGATAACTTGATCCCGCCACCGTAGCTGGATAGGCGTTGACTGGCTTTTCCGCCTTGCTCTCCACCACTGGTGGCGCTGATGGCGCCGTCGCCTCCACCGATTTTTCCCCAAACTTATAGGAAAAATTCAGCATGCCTTTGGGTTTCCCCGACGGCTTCATCACCTGATAACTAATGAATTTCATCGAACCGCCGTTTCCCGTCGAGTCCAGGAGTTCTTTGACCGGAACGTTGACTTCACCGACCTCTTTGTCACCGAGGGTGCGCTCGCACTTAAGGTTGACCACGAGGAGGAGGCGATTCTGCTGCGCCAACGTCTCGTCGACGGTGAACTTGATGGGGAAATTCCAGCTGGGGTTGGAGCCGCCCACACGGTCAACGGTGGTCTTAACCTTCTGTTTGTGGTTTGAGGAGTCGCCGGCGAGTGAAACAACGGCATAGACGTCCATCTTGCTAACGAGATTAACATTCTTCAGGTCACTTGCGGAGATCAGGTTGATGTCTAAGGTTCTGTACGCCATATCGAAGAGGAATAGTTGCCGGAAAAAGTTGAGAACTCGAAAGTTTGTATATATTAAGGAAGCATTAGACAAAGTCAATGATATAAGGCCTAACCATGGTTAGCGATGAATATTCAACGTCATTAACCATGGTTAATGACTTCTTGAATTCTTCTTACTCGGAGTTCATGTCTTTAATTAAGGTTTATGAAAATAAAATATTATACATAAAAGAAATTGCAAAGAAATATCTATACATTTTCTATGGCTGAAAAAAAGTGTAAAGTCTCAATTGTTTATTTGGAAAAAAAAACAAAATTGAAACTGACGTTTATACCCATAGTTGACAACTTAAAATCTTATACCAGTAATTTACGCTTGTATCCCCCCAAGAAAAAATGTCAAAAAAATTTTTTTTTTTGGCAAAACCATGAAATCCATTTTAAAAAAATATTGGTAGGGACACATTTACCTTTAAAAAAAAAAGTAAGGATAAATCACCCCTTTTTTAATGAAAAACATCAGAATTTTGTTTGTTACATCAGTATTTTTTAACAAAAAACATTGAAAAAGAGATAATTTGTATTGATTTATGATTTTGAAGAGTAATTTGTCCCTACTTTTTGTTGAGGAGTGGATATGTCTCTACCGATATTTTTTAAGAGTGGATTTGAGGGTTCTGTCTTATTTTTTCATATGTTAAAAATTTCTAGATAATTTATATATATTATTCTTATACTTATAATTTTTTTGATAAAAAAATTTTATTTATTTATATATATTTAATGATATTAAATTTTTTATAATTGATAATATAATTAAATTTACTGAAATAATTTAAAAATTGATATACATAATATATATAAATAAAACTTTCAATTTAACCGTTAATTTTTAAAAATATTAATTAAAAAATAAAATTTTAAAAATATTCACTACCGTAATTTCAAGATAAAAAAATATTTAAATCATTGAAATAACTCCCTCATCTAAAATCTAAAAAAAAGATAAACTAGAATGTTTTTTTTTTTAATCAGATTAAGCTTTTAATATGAGTTGGGATTGTAAATTTATTAAACTACTTTTAATAAAACTCTTTCGTGCACACTAAACTAACTCATTAAGGATATTATAGTAATTTTCCCGGATGTGTCCTGAACTTCTCAAGAAAACATATCTACCAACAACTCTTAAAAAGATGTATATAAAAAAATCAACCATGTATGCGAAACAAGGAGGGCTTTACCTAGTAACATTTTCCTAACTTCATATATATATATATATATACCTTCAGCTCTAAATTCATATATATAGATTCAGTTGTGGTTGAGATAACCTTGTTGTAGGCATTTTTGGGCCCCTCAGAGACGGATGGGTCCATGTCCAAGCTGGCATTTCAATTTGCACATGATTTCATTGCATCTAGTAAGAAGGTCAAGCATTTGGCTAGAGATGTCTACGTGGGGGCTAGAAGAGTCTGTATTGATGCAGCTGTTCCTTGCCTCAATTTGGTGTCTTGTATTGCAGGTTTCAACAAACTGAGCAGGAATATGATCATGGAAAGGAAGAGAAGAGGGTGGAGGTTGAGGAACAACCTTTGGCCAGTTTCTCCCAGGAAAGTCAGTGATGGAGTGGGAAGATGATGAACTGCCACATGAATGCTTCATATGACAGTTCTTGATGTTGTTTCTGGCCATCAATTGCACTCCCCCGCTGCTTTTGTCCCCAGTAGTAAGTGGACTCAAGCTAAGAGATACTGAACATGATTTTGGTTGAGATGCTGAACTAACCAATTGCTGCTGCTGCAGAGGTGGAATTGACCTTAGGTGAGTAGAATCACAATTTTTAACAGGCATCAACTGTAGAGTCTCATCAACAGGCTTGCCCGATTTAGGCGCTTCCAGAGTTAACTTTGCATTACCAAATAGGGATTTATTTTGAAAAGCATATTTATATGCTGCCTTCGCATCATATCTACACTTGAACACAATCTGGCAAGTTGAGGATTTCCAAGAGACACAAGGAGCAGAATGGAAGGGTCCAAAGCGTGCGAATCGTGCTTTCAGCTCTGGAACTGAAGGCAATGCAGATTGGCGAGGGAATTGCATCACCAGCTTTGCAGGTTGAGCAGCATTTTCTGGATTTCCAGATTTGTTGACTATGAGTTTTGTTAGCTTTCTCAGAGATGTCACATCTATTTCTTTTTCTTCCTTTACCAGGTACTCAGGATGGTTATGGTTGGCAGCCCTTCTTTCTGAAGACAATGACTTCAGCTTACATGGTTTCTTCGGTTCCTTCATTGACAAGTCTACCTCACTGTAAGGTTTCTTCAGTCCCTTCATTGATATGTCTACCTTACTGCAAGAGTTGCCATTGATTTCACCAATCATTGCATAATCATCATGATCATCAGGTCTGAGCCGTTTCTTTGGTGGTTTGGAAGCAGAAGGCATTTCCTAAGAATTCAAAAAAAAGAGCACTCAAAAGTTGTACGCAGGTTAGAGAATCAGATAAATGATTAACCAAAGGGGGCAAAACGAAATTTTTTGATAAAGAGCTAAATCGTCGGAAAAGCCACAAAACAACTAGTAGGAGCATTATGTTCCAGATCATTAAAAGGATTAAGAGAAAAAGCTAATTGACAATTAAACAATTTAGGAACCTTGTAAACACTGCAGTAGTCTCCAATTCCCTCTCCTGGTTGATGTAGCAATGAATCTGCACTGCAAATAGAAACAGTTTTGTTGGATTTTCCAGCTTTGCTTCTGGGTGATGCTTCTTCTTTTATGCTTTTAAGGTGTTTATGTGCATTATCACAGCCTGTTTCAAATTCTATTGCTTCCTTCGTTTTCCTTTCATTGACTATAATGACTTTCTCAGACAGCAACTCTTCTTCAAAGAATTTTGATGACCTTGGTTTCTTATCTCTCCTCTCACTCCTGGCAAGAATTTTTCTACCAGAAACAACACCTGAAACAGAGAAAGTATTGCCAACATGGTCCAAGTTATCCAGATGACAACAATTCTTAGCTGCTTCAGCCAATCTTGATTGTGGTTTCTGTTTCAAGTCAACTGTAGAATTAGTTGAGTTAATCTTTTCAACCTCTGGTCTTCTGTTCCTAGTTGTGTCTTCTTTATCAGTATTACCTGGAATTGGAAATGTAGTTAAGCTACCAAAAGGACGATTGTCATCCTGGTGGTGAGGGTACTTGGGAGTCAGTGGATCAGCTGGAGCTTCTTCTGTCCATATGACATGATCTCCTGCTTCTAGTACAGCTTCCTTCTCATTCATTGATAAACTGAATAAACTTTTTATCTGTTGAGGATATTGGAGTCTCAAAACATTCCTCTTATTAAAATGCCTGTCTCTCTTAACCTCCCTTGGCCTAAAAGAGCTTTTAGTTATTACTACAGATGCAGGCACTTCAGAAGGAGCACTTGGTGAAGCTGAAAACATAATAAATAAATTACTGTATTATATTGAAAGAAAAGCCTGGAATGTAATCTTTAACTTTTCCTTACTGGACAAGTAAAGAATATGTGAAATAAGACAAACATTTCTCAATAGAAATTTCAATGAAAGAGCAAAAAGTGATACTTAACATGCAAGAAAGGTACCATTGTGTGTATGGAAAGAAGATAATGGGAGACCTCAGTTACACTTTAGTAATGCCATCAACAGAACCCATTGATATAGAAACAAGGGAAACCTCAAAATTCAATTTAATTGACCATGTAACACCACATATATCTCATTTATATCCCCACCCCAACAAACAAAAAGGAAACAGGAAGACCACATACGTACACAGATGCCAAGAAATAAAGCAGAAAATTTGGAAGACGCCCTCCTGTAATTCTAGCTACTACAAGGTCAGAGAAAAAGATGTAGAGTGATTTAAAAGTCTCAGGCAGAGCAGTGCAATTGACACATGGACAGCCATTGAAATTCACTAGAAAAATTAAGATTAGCATATTTTATTGGTGCTAGAAAATGAGGTAGCTTCTATTAGGGGATCTAGTCTAGATAATGCACACAGTGAAACCATACACAACCACAATCATAAAGCATGGCACCTCAAGAACAATGATATCTACCACTTTCACCAACACAAAAGTAAAAAAATGGATGAAAATACAATATTCATGTAAAATCCATACAATATGAACAGTGGCAGAAATAGCAACGGATATTAAGGTTTAGTAAAAAGTTATAGCTCAATACCTAGTAAAGGCATTTCTTCTTGCAGATCCAAAAACCTAACTGGATCGTCAGCATGTTGTGCTTCCACTCCAAATGTCTGAACCAGTATCTTATCAAACTTCTTGAACACCACCTTCCTATAGGCAAGAACCACAGCCACGTTCTTAATCAACTCAACACAATTTTGTGTATTACCACATGGCATAAGTGCCAGCCGTTGTAGAAAACAAAGCATCACGATTGGCTGAAATCCATTTCTAGCTTTTTCAATCTGCTTTCTTGTATAAACTGCATCAGGCACATATCCATCCACATCAACTGCAAAGCAACCTTTAACTCCAGTAGCTCGAAAATTGGATGGATATTGACAACAGCAAGCCAACCCAAGTGCAGCCCTTCGACGAATCTCATATTCTGCATCTTCAACAGCGTCCAGAAAAGGCTTAGCATTTGTTTGCTTTGACTTCTCAACAAAGTTAGGATCAAATGGAATAAGCTCTGTAGGATTAAACCATCCAAAAGTATCATCCCCAAAAAAGGCAACCAACAAACAACCCTCTTTCTTGGTTTCACTCACAGAAGGTGATGCAAAAGCTTCATCAAATATCTGCCCCGGCCACCAGGGGTGGGATTTAACCTTTCCCCAGACCATATCTCCTAGTTCATACTCCTGCTGAAAACACCTCTTCATTGCAATTTTCTCACTAGCTCGAATCATCACCCTATCTCTCTTTGTACATCCAGCATTCCTCATGCTGTAGATTGTACTTGCAGCCTCAATTACAGAATCAATTTCCCCTATCATCAATCTGGTCACCGTCCCTTCCATCCATCACTATTTGCATAATCACTATCAAAATCACCATTCCCTTCCACGCCATAAACCATATCCCTGCAAAACAACAGTTTCTTCAGACCCCATTTTCACATCAAAAACCCAATTCCAGTCATAGAAACACTGTTCAGTTGGAGCATATACTAGAACCCATATAAGTTAAAATCCAGGAATACAAAGAGGGGCTAAACCCAGGAAAATAGTAAATGAATACAACAGTTCGACATTGAAGATCACAAATACATATCTCTGTCTCTTAATCATAAAAAACTAACTGTTACGAACATTATCGGATTAAAGAAAAACAGGAGGAAGAACAGAACCCATATGCGAGTACCTTAGTACCTTTGAAGTTGCTCTTAAATGGAGATCAATGAGGCCCAATGCCAAGCATCTCCTCACTGCTTTTGCTCCCCTAATGAGAAAACCCTTCTGCGTTTCAATAAACCAAAACCCAGAAAAGAGAGAGTTTCTAAAAGAGGAAAAAAGAGGGCATTCCTCTGTTGGTATGTTGATGATGACTGGTGACGGTGACCGGTGCAGCCTGCGTTGCCTCAGTTGGTTCTGCGTACAGCTATGTGGCTGCATGTAGCCTGTGTCGCTTTAGTGGGTAAATGACTAAATGGGAAACACGCCATCAGAGGGAATCTGTAATTAGGAAATCTGTAATTAATTCTTTATGTACTTTTCACTTTCCAAATATTTTAAAATGTAAGTAATTTAATTTTTTTAAGTAATTTTAAGTAATATTTTTTTTATAAGTATACCCATGATAATTGAGATTTTTTTTTTCAATACAAAATTTTTATTAAATAGTTATATTTGATTAAAAATATATAATTTTTATTCATATATATATTTTTTAAAAATTAAGATAAAACTTGAATCTCACACCTCTAAATTTAATATGAAAAATTCTTTATAAAGATAAGATAAACACTAAATCACAAGAACTTTTTTTAATTATTCATATAACATTATTCATATAATATTAATATTAAGAAAACATAACTTAAAAACACATATAAAAAAATTATATTGACTCATATTTTGAAAAAAATGAAGTATAGTTCATGTACATTATGGATTTTAATTAATTGGGTTATTAATTAAAACCTTGTTGGGTAACTAGTGTGACTAGAAATGAGAGATGGAATGTGAAACGAAAGGATTGAAGGTTTAATGATGAGCGTTCGAGGCATTGTGAATTGGCAATGGTCCTTGCCCTTTGGGCTAGGTTAGTAGAGAAGTGAAATTTTTGCACAAATAGTCTTAATTGATTGTATTATAACTCATTTGCTTAAACTATTAATTTGATCCCTTAGCTTTTAATTTATATCAAAATTATCTCATAACTTTAAAAAGTAATAAAATTATCCCTAAACTTTAATTTTTAAAACCAAAATAGTTCTCAAACTTTGAAGATAATATCAATTTAATTTTTAAACTTTAAAAACAAATACCAACTTAGTCTTTGATTACATATTTCAATTTAGTTTTTTAATTTTAATTTTATATCAATACAATTTGTAAATCAAAATATATCACAATAGTAAAATATAACTATTTAATTTTACACACAATTATTATTTTAAAAAACTAATTTTATAGTAAAAGAACAGATTATGTAATACTTCTATTAACAAAAGAATTTTCTTAGTATTGAAAATTAAAATTTAAAAACAATTTTAATACATTTTGAAGTTGAGGGACAATTTTAAAACAAACCTAAAAGCTACGGGACCAAATTAATATTTTAACCTAACTCCATTTTAAGTCATAAAGAAAGGAGTAAGTCTTGAGATATACAAAAGTCGGTTTCGGAACACCCTGCCTGGAGTATGGATACTACGTTAGAATTATTTCAAACTAAACAGCTTTGTCTGCATTCTAATGGCAAATCACTCATTACAACCTAAGCTAACCCAAATGAGTCGAAAATAACTCATTAGCTGCTCCGTGAGAGATAACAAGTGGCCACAAAGGATGATATTAAAACATGAAGCAAGTTGATATCCTAGTACTATATTTACAACACATCTTTTAAAGGTGAGTTAGTCAGTAAAAAAGTGAGGTGGACTTCATTATCTCTCCCCAGTTCGTCTAGAAATGAATCCTACCGGAAAATGGAAACTGTTTAGCAAGTTTTTCCACTTTTGCTTCCTGGTGAATGGTGATGCTTCTTCTAGTGTGCTTCTGAGGTGTTTATGTGCATTTTCAGGCCCTGTTTCCGACTCATTTTCTTGCTGCGCTTTCCTTTTATCACCTATGCTGACTTTCTCAGGAACCAATTCTTCAAATTTCTCATCTCTACTCTCACTGTTGGCAAAGACTTTTCCATCAGAAACAACACCTGGAAGTGACAAAGTATTGCTAACAGTTTCCAAGTTATCTAGATGACCACAATTAGCTCCACTAGTCGTTTCAAGCTCTTGTTTTCTGTTTCCAGATGGGGCTTCTTTGGCAACATGACCTGGAATACAAGACATACTGAAGTCATAAAAAGTATCATTATCATCCTGCAAGCAAGGGGCCTTAAGAGTCACAGAACCAGCTAGAGCTCCTGTCTCTACAATATGATCTACTGTTGCCAATGCAGATTCCTTCTCGTACATTGATGGACTCAAGAAACTTTGTTTCTCTTGACAACAATGAAGTCCTGAGGCGTCCCACTTAGAGTTTTTGGTTATTTTGATTGATGCTGGCACTTCGGGAGGGGCAGTTGGTGAAGCTGAAAATATTATTTAAAAAACTGCTGTTTTAGATTGAAAGAAAAGCCTTCAATATGAAGTTTATCTTTTGCTCAATGAACAAGGGTACAATATGTGAAATAAGAGAAACTTTTCAAGAGAAATTTCAACAAATGAGCAGAAACTGAGGCTAACTAGACAAGAAAGGTAGCACATGTTACAAGCAAAAAAGATAATGGAGAATTCAATTACACTCCAGTTACCCAGATCAACAAAAGCCCTTGACATGGATACAAGGGAGACATCAAAATTCAATCTTGATTGACCATATACTACATATACCTTACTTCTGCCTCCCCACTCTCCCACCAATGAACAAAAAAAAGAAAAAAGGAAAAAGAAAAAAAAGAGACCTGAAATCATAGATGTCACGAAATTCACATTTACCCACTATAACAATCAGAAAATAAAAGATTGGGATTAGCTCACCTGTGTCAATCCATTAGCAAGGAATATTAAGGTTTAGCAAGAAATTCAGATGCATGAACCAATACCTTGGAAAGGCATCTTTTTTTGCAGATCCAAAATCTCAACTGAACTTTCAGTGTGTTGTGCACCTACAGCAAATGCATGATCCGGTGTCACATCAAACTTCTTAAACACAGCCTTCCTGTAAGCAAGAACTACAGCAACATTCCTTATCCAATCAACACCATTCTGAGGATTACCACATGGAATTAATGCCAACAGTTGTAGAAAGCAAAGTAGCCTGATTGGGCGAAACCCATTTCTAGCTATTTCAATCTGCCTTCTTGAATAAATTGCTCCAGGCTGATATCCCTCCACATCAACTGCAAAGCACCCTTGAACACCAGTAGCTTGAAAACTTGAAGGATTTTGACAATAGCAAGACAGGCCAAGTGCAGCCCTTCTACAAATCTCATATTTTGCGTCTTCAACAGCATCCAGAAAAGTTTTAGCATTCGTTTGCTTTGATTTCTTGACAAAGTTAGAATCAAATGGAACAAGTTCTGTAGGATTAAACCATCCAAAAGAATCATCCCCAAAGAAAGCAACCAACACACAACCCTCTTTCTTGGTTTTAGTCACAGAAGGTGATGCAAAAGCTTCATCAAATACCTGCCCCGGCCACCATGGGTGGGATTTAACCTTTCCCCAGACCATATCTCCTGGTTCATACCCATGTCCCAAACGCTTCTCCATTATAGTTTTCCTGTCAACACAAACCATTACTCTATCTCTCTTTATAGACCCATCATTCATCATACCATAAATCCTACATGCAGCGTAAATTATTAAATCAATACCCCCCAAATCAATCTCACCAACATTCCTACCATCCATCATTAGTTGAATATTCACCATAAAAGTTAACATTTCAACCAAAATCATCCATACCATAAATGCCAAACAACAGTTCCTTCAGACCCCATTTTCTTACACAGACATAGGAGTACTTCAAATCAAAACCAAACTCCTGCCATGGGTAAACACACCATCTATTGTAGCACTGGGTAACCCATTTATGCTAAAACCCTGGTTTAACCTGACATGTTCATGAATAAAACAGCTACACTGTGGCTTATATATGTACAAATTTTTTTAGTTTAAAAAGCCAATCTTTTGACAAATCCCAGATTAATAACAAGAAGAAATTAACCAAAAGAGAGAGAGAGAGAGAGAGAGAGAGAGAGAGATGGTAGTACCTATTTCAAGCTGGTCTTCAATGGGGATCCATCAGGTTCAATGCCAAGCAGATCTCCATTGCTTTTCCTCTCCAAATGTGAAACCTTTCTGTTGAAACCCTGAAAAGAAAAGGTTTCATGAGAGAGAACCTCACACTGTGTGTGTTTGGTGGTGACCAGTGATAAATGCTGCTGCCAGAGACCCAGCTTGATGATTTTTGAGCAGGATTTAATTGCCAATCCAGTCCCTAATGTTATTTTGTCATGTCAATCCAGTACTTAAACTTATTTTTCAGCCAACTAAGCTCCTCCACATTTCCAGAATGATTTAGTTAAGACCTGACTTAAATATGTCAGTAAAAAATGAATATTTTACTTCTATCCCTTGACTATGTTTTTTACATCTTTCAACACCCAAGTTGTTTTCTAGACCAAATATCTTGAAATGCACCCTAGTCACATTACATCAATTTTCTGTTATTATTAAAGTAGTGGTGATTGTTGAACCCCGCATGACACTAAATTAAAGTGACACCTCCTTTTCTTATTTTAGCTTCGTGACATGAAAAGTGAGTCTCATAAATTGGTTAAGTAATTAATAAATCATTTTTAAAAAAATCATATCAACTCAACATATTTTTTAAATTAGCCTCCAAATTTGCAAAATCATGCCAACTCTCTAGATTACTTTTCCCCCACCTCATTTTTGAACAAGATCATAGCACCAAATTCATGAGTTTCTAATGCGAGTTTTTGTCGTCAAATATATTTTGAAAAAGCTAGATCATAGATTAAATAATAAAAAATATTATTTTTTTAA